CCACTTTTCGGTTGTCTGTCCCCCAGGGAGAAGGTCACACACAGTTCCATGTAATCGGTTCCCTCTTTCCTACCCATTGTTGCACCCCGTGTGTCCATCTTGTTGAGGGGCTTCCTCTTTTGATTCCTCTCTACCAAGCATGATACACTTTTCCAAGGACTGGTCTTTCCTGATAGCATGTCCATAATACATGAGACAAATATTCTTCACCAACATGGTAATTCAAATGCATAGATTATCCATTGGCCTTCCTTGTTCATTATCCAATTTTCACAGGCTTAGGAGGCAGATAAAAATACCATGGCTTGAGTCAGGAGCAGTCCTCAAAGTGATATCCTTGCTTTTCAAGACGACATAGAGGTCTTCTACAGCAGCTTTACCCAGTGCAAGTCATCATTTGATCTCTCGACTGCTGCCTCCATGAGCAATGATTGTGACTTGAAACAGCTTAGAAGTTAGGCAGGATGAATTGTGCTGCCAATGTTTTATAAAATAACCTGTCCAAATACACTTGTCGGTAGAGTACTTAGTACCAGACTCCCTATTCTGCTTTAAATTGTGTCAGCTGCTCAGGGGTGTGTACACACCTGCACACACCCAATTGCTTGTGTAGGAATGTTATTGTATTACTGGTTGGTAGGTATTTGGATATCGACAGCTTTAATAGAAATCAATGAGAAAGGAGAAAGACCTTGGTAGTTTTCTTTTGTAAAGATTCACATCTCAAACCCTATGAAGCAGTTTAACTCTGCTGTGAGAATTGATTCTTGGCTATGGGGAGTTGACGCGCTAATGCTTCTTTGAATTCAAATCATTATTGCTAAATTGACAAATTACTGGCCTGAATCCAAAAGAGAAGGAAGGAATGTTATACAAGCTTAAATTGTGGAATTCTGGCTTGCTGAAGCTATGGATGACAGTGGGAGCCCAAAATACATTTGAAGGGTCAACACATGGAATAAGGCTCCAGTGATTCCCCTCTGATCATAAATAAGTGAGGGATGGGAATAACCTGGTTATCAGATAGAATATTGGAGAGATGATTATAGTAGATTAAAATGATAAATCCGGCATGGTTAAAACTTTCTCATTGAACTTGATCTGGTTTCAAATTTCTGTTCCTTTTTTCTTCAAATTGGGGCTTGTCTTTTGTATTTTGTTATTTTTGGTATTCTTGACACATACGTATCTGTTTTTTGGTATGAAACCCAGGTTGGGTGAATCTAGAGAAAATAGAACAAGTGTTCCTGTGGGGAGTGGCAAGGATGGGGGTTTTAATGGGGGGCTGATGCCAAGGACTACAAGGTGGAAGAAAATGTTTTGAAAATGATTGTGGTAGTGGTTGCACAACACTGCTTGATAAGACTGAACTATTGAATGGTATGATTTGGCTTATGTCCTAATAAAATGATTTGAAAAAAAATTTTCTGATCTGAGCCAGTTTTTATTGGAATGTAGCCATACACCTTTGTATACGTATTGCTTATGACTTTCTCGTATGTTCCAAAGACAAAGGCAGCATTGAGTAGTTGCAACAGATTATGTGTGCACAAATATTAAAATATTGACTGTTCCTTTGTTGGAATCGTGTGGACTATTTACTTTTTGTATTTTATCCTGTGCCCTCTGGTATTATTGCTTTATTATTTTTTTAATTGTTTTATTAGGGGCTCATACAGCTCTTATCACAATCCATACATACATCAATTGTGTAAAGCACATTTGTACATTCATTGCCCTCATCATTCTCAAAACATTTGCTTTCCACTTAAGCCCCTGGCATCAGCTCCTCATTTTTCCCCCTCCCTCCCCGTTCCCCCCTCCCTCATCAACCCTTGATAATTTATAAATTATTTTGCTTTATTCTTCAAAATTATTAAGCTATTCTTTGTGAATTGGGAGGAGATTCTTCCCTAGCCACCACAAATACTGTATTATAGATCTACAAATACTGTAGAAGCTTAGAAATGATTGGTAAATTCAATTTGTAAGTAATATAGAAAACAGATGTTTTTAATTGGAAAGAAAGCTTTGAGAGCAAAAGAGCACTAAGGGCAAAGCTTAGGGGAACACATGATACCAAGAGCAAAGGAGAAGGAGCTTCTAATAATCTAATAGATTTAGCATGTTGACAATAATTTGACAGCAATTTTTTTTACAATAAATTTTAATCACTAAAATATCTAAAAAACAATTTACCTCAATGTGTTTGCAAATACATTAGAAATTCAAATACTGTTTTTTTAAAGTATGGAAGGATGGAATTAAAATACGATGGAATTTTTCCATTGTTCATCCTCTCCCAGAGCATTTGATTAGAAACTTAATTAAATCCAACTGTAATGAAATCTTTATTCTTAAAATTAAAAATATTTTTTATGAACTCATAAAAAATGAGAACTCAAATATGTTAGTATCTGAATTATGCCAAGTATTTGAAATTTCAGCATTTTGGTACCCAAGCTTCATATTGCATCCAAGAATGTATTGTCAGCTACTTGTGCCATTTTTTGATTTGGAAAATAAACAACCATTCGTAAATGAATTTCATCTTGTAAGAAAATATTTTTTTCCTCCCCATAATTACTAGAGCACATATATTAAAGATGAGGAGCATAGTAGGTTGTGTGTTGAGCTGCTAACTACAAGGTCAGTGGCTTGAACTGACCAGCTACTCCATGGAAGGAAGATGGGGCTTTCAGTTCCTGCAAAGCTTTATAGTCTTAGAAACCCACAGGGGCAGTTCTCCTATGTCCCCTAGGGTCACTGAGTTGGAATCAACTAGATAGCAGTGAGGGATTTTGGGGAATTTTTTTTTATAATCATTTTTGTTAAACATGTAAAAACATCAATGTATTTCAATAAACTTACGGAATTTTTTGTTTGGATAGGCTCGCATGTCTTGGGGTAGAGAGTCCATAGACATTCGATACCGGAGGCTTCAACATTTACTTGAAAAGAGCAATATCTATTCCAAATTTTTATTGACTAAAATGGAACAGCAACAACTAAAGGTAAGTATGTGTAACTGGATAGTATAAAACCTTTTTTGTACAGGATTATTGAGATAGAAATTAGATTTTGAGGTTTCTAAGTGTACACAAGATAATGTGGATTGATACTGCCTTTTCTAGATTCCTTAATAGAATCATGGGATGTGTTCTTTCGTTGACATATTTTGAGATGTTGGGTTTGCCAGTAGGGTATACTGAAAAGACATCCATTCATTCACCTGTTAAATTTTTTTCCTGATCATGGGTAATATTTATTGGGTGTCGGAAATTGTCAGTTTATGATTCTCAGTGCTCATTTTGTTTGCTTGATTCAAGGAGCTTTATTGAGTTACAATTGATATAAATGCACAGATTTAAGATGTGTAATTTTATAAGTTTTGCTATCTCTATATCCATGTGAAGCGACTATAATCAATAATAACCATCATCTTCAGAAGATTCCTTCTACTCTTAAATTCTCTCCCTTCAGCCCTCCTGTTGGCCTTCTATGTCCAGAGAGCCATTGCTTTTTAGTTTTAACCATTCTAGTATATGTATAGTGGTATATTTTCATTTGAAGTTTTTTAAGTGTTAAAATAATCATCTTTATTTGAATTTATCCATTTCACCTTACATCATTTAGATACATATACATTTCCGTATTCCTTTTAATTATAAATGATTGCTTTTTTTTTTTTTTAACATTTTATTAGGGGCTCATACAACTGTTATCCCAATCCATACACACATCAATTGTGTAAAGCGCATTTGTACATTCATTGC